AGATATTGGTTTGATTGGATGCATTGTAAATGTAACGCTAAACAACGCTGTAGGTTTGGAGGCCTACGCAAGTTAAGGGATAAACAAAACTTTATTTTACTAACCTTTAACTGCATGACAATAACACATTAAGGCTTATTGTCACAGACTGAAACATGAGTTCATAACCTAACTGAACTTTTAAGAGGTGAGGTAGATGTATACACTTTGATTTCGTCTAGGGTTGACTTCTCGGAAGTTTGATGAAACAGATTTCAGGCTATTTGAAATGTTAAGTTGTTTACAATCAAGACGTCTACGTGATATCCCCAAGAACACGATAATGTCTCAAATTCTCAAGTCGATTCGTCGCGACTTAAATCATGAGCAAAAGTTATGCCTTACCCCTCTAAAGTCGATGAGAGAGAGAGAGAGAGAGAGAGAGAGAGAACGAGAGACCCGAAGAGGCTAAGTGAGTAGCGTGAGTTCGCAGTCTTTTAAAAATGAATGAAATTAATGTTACAAAAATAGTGTCAGTAATATTGAATAGAGGGGAATTTAATAAAATCAGCACGTTGTTCACTAAATACATTATTTTAAATTGATTTCAAATAAACTGATTTTTAAATATTTTAGGTAAGCACTGAATTTTACGTAAAATAGTAACAAGCGTGTCATCTTCAATTGCAATCTTGAATTTAAATATTTCAGCACTTTTTCCTTTGTCGCCACGGAATAGCTGTATATGCACCATATCTTAAACTTTTGACAAAATTACCACTTATATTATTTACAGGATATAATATTCTGATAAAAAGGATAATTGCTGAGTTTATTTTGCTATAAAAAGACCCAACGTACATCATATACATAGAAACTACAAAAGCATCGAATACCCTAATGGTCTAAGTAATGTTGCAGATAAGTAAGACAAAATCCAAATGTTGTTGTTATTCTGAAAACTAATATCGAATTCCAAATTATCTTTTAACTTAAGACAGCTCATTTTATACAACAAGTTGCAAAATTTCGACTGCATGCAGAAAAAACAAAAATGAAGTCACAGGGCTTTGGTTCATTTTATACGACTATATATTAGATCGCTGTAAATGACCGACGACAGTATTTACAGTTATTACTTATTTATTGTTAGCTTCAGTGCAAAAAAAAGAAAAAAAAATTAAAGCGTTATGCTGTATGATGGTTCTGGGGTCCATTTTTGTTACACGACACGTCTGCAATAAATTATACATTACTACTCGTTAATTGACAATGGCATATTAATTGTCTTCGACATCAGCACGATTTCAAAACCTAACTCACTTCTAACAGGTGAGGTCGCCGCATGCACTTTGATTTCGTCTAGAGTTGCCTTCTCAGAAATACGATGAAACAGATTTCAGGCTATGTGAAATGTGAGGTCGTTTTCAATCACTACATTGAGATAATATCTCCCTAATGCATCCAGTTCTCAAATTCTTCTCTTCCTTTCAGCTTTAATCTACAGCATGTTGTTTTTCTTGAACTACTATGAAAACTTAGCTCAGTTAATGCATCAAGTTGAATTGTCTATAAACGATCAAGATTTATTCAAACTTTGTTTTAAACTTTTATCTCCTCTAATTTGGATGAGAGAGAGAGAGAGAGAGAGAGGGAGAGAGAGAGAGAGAAAGGCTCAGAGTTCATATAGAAAGGACTGAATGTGCCATAAATCGTGATATTCATTTGGATCTTTTAGAATTGCCTTTTTTGTATGGTTTATCTATAAATACATCATTTAAGAAAACCAGTTATAGTTGAAAAAAAACTGCCTAAGCTCTAACTGGGAGTTTGATTCAATTAAATATAAACATAAGGAAAAACGTTCACCTCCCTCATGGGGTGCAATTACAGTTTACCGAGTACATCTTTTTATATGTTACCAGAAAGTTTTTTTTTCTAGTGTTAGTATCTTTCCTGTGCCATATGTTTAAAAGTGCATACCTGAAGATATGAAATCATCGAAAAGCTTTTACGGGTAAGCTTTCGTCACATCAGTGATTTTTAAATTTTTAAATAATTAAAATTATTGACTACCAGCGTTTATATTAGTAATAATTGTGGATCAAAAAGCTTATTGGTAAATTCCAGAGATTCATCTGATAACAAGTACATAAAACGAATTGTTCGTATGTCTGGGTGGGAGAGGTAGGACTTGGAAAAAAATCTCCTCCTTCAACCTTAGATTTGTCGGCGTCAGGGTCAGAGCCTGGAAATTCTATATTACCGCATGTTCAAACTGATAAAGGGACATTTCGAGTTCCACAGTATCCCTAATATCGAATGATTAAAATGCGCTCAAGTCATTAATCATGATTTTATACTAGTAGAGTTTACGTCCAAAAAATAATGGTGTCACTGAATTGTGTACGTTTCATTTGCTTGCTACCTCTCTCTCTCTTTCTCTTAAACAAATATACAAGTTAATTCTTTTTACTTTGTTTTGTTTTGTACAGTGTATACGTATTTACATATTTAGAACCTAGCATAAAAAGGGCCCCTAAGATTTTTCATATTGTGGAGGGCGAACCCGGAGCAGCATATCCATCATGGTGTGGGGCTACATCAGCATCCATGGCGTGGGCGAATTGGTAGTGGTTGATGGAAACATGAATCACCAGAAATATATCGATGTTTTGGAGTCAGGCTTGCTACCAACTATTACTAACATGTTTTGTGACAGGAATTATCCATTTGTTCACCAGGATGACAGTGCTCCTTGTAACAGGCCCAGAGCAGATGGTGGTTGGTTTGACCAACAGGACATTCACAGGGTGATGTGGCCTGCCAAGAGTCCGGATACAAACATAATAGAAAATGTGTGGAATGATATGTCAAAATTTTTGACAAATGCCCGTTCAACCAGCAGACAAACTATGTTAGATTCAGTGTTTCATGCTTGGGCCAGCATAAGCCCTGAAAGCATCAGACAATTATATGAATCCTTGCCTCGCAGACCAGCAGCTATTATTAGGTCACGTGGCTATGCCACTAAGTATTGATTTTGGAATTGAAACTGCATATCTTGGTAGAATGTATATTTTGTTCTCATTTTGTGATTTTTTTTGTGAAATTTGATGTTAATAAAATGATACCAGGAGCATATCATTTACAGTCATTTATCTCCCCCAAAGTATTGGTTCAGTAGGGGCGACACTTCTATTGTCCAGTGTGTGTAGATAGAATTTCATAGTACGTATTACTTCCCGCGCTGCTGGATTAGAATAAAAGGAAAATCATTTAATATTTACTACAAATAAAGTTGACTATGCATGTTACAAAAGTGAAAACTTCAAAAATGTTAATAATTAAACGCGGCAATTTATAATTATACGATTCTGTCTTACATGTAATAGGTATACAGTATGGGAAAGACATTGTAATGCTTTTTTGGTCGGTGATTTACATGTAATACAATTTTTAATCCCACCAAGACTATATTTCAGGCACTATTAGGTTAATCAAAAAAAAAAAAAAAAAAAAATCCAGAAAAAATTAATACGTTTGTCTTGACATTAGTTACACTAGATCATGTATCAGAGAACAATAAAGTAAATAAAGAAATAAATAAGCAAACAAATAAATAAAAACTCTAGAAAACATGCATGTATTTTTGTGGAAATCCTCATGCACAATTTCATTAATTTGCATGCTAGAAGTTTTATTTTACTTTTTAAGTCGACTTGTACAGTAGGCCTATATGTTACTAGTACAGATACATCATTTTGACTAAAAGTAAACGAGTTTAAATAACCACTTGAAGGCAATACATTATTTTTTTATTATTATTATTACGATGCTGTTGTACTGCCAGGGATAGAAAGGTGGTTTAATTGAACAAATAGCTGTGCCTGTAGGTTGAATATACCGTGTGGCTACAGCAGTGCAGCTTGCGTATTCAATCAGTGTTATATCAGCCAATAGACAAGGTTGAAAACCGCCAGGCCAAAGTCACGACTGAAACCGAGACGGACGGCCGCGTCTATGAAATGACTGCTGACCGCCATTTCATATCTTCCAATTATTTTGGTCACCTCTTCTATAACCTCAACGATCGCGTACACGCTGCTTCTCTTCCCGTAGTATTGGGCCAGTTTGCGCAACACGGTCCGCGCCGGCCTTGACCTTAGGGCTCTGAGAGCACCACGGAGCACAGCGCCGGTGAAGGCACTATAAATAAGAATATAGCATTCAGCAACGGTCCCAGTATTTAAGTACCCTCTACCAGGTCCACTAATTGCCTTATTCACTAGATATTCACATATAATGTCTCTGGCTTAATTTGGTCGATCTTCAAACTGGTACAATGCCTTCATCTCGAGTGCAAATTCAATTGATTCCTACTGGCCAAAAGTTACAGGGTGGCTGGTGGAAAAATGCATATAATATCTGCCGCCCTGGTAGAGGGTACTATTTGAGGATCATACTACGATGGATATCGTTCGAGATAGCTTAAAACTGGCGAGAATGCCTGTGAGGCGGGAATGTCGTCCCAGGGAGCAATACAAAGATTACGCAAAACATGGTGAGTGCGTACTGCTGTGCACAAGACAATAACTCGACAAAACAATTAGGTGAAAATAATCATAAGAATATATATGGATAAATTTTATAAGCTGCCGCACCGCACTCACTACAGTTTGCCATTATTTTTCATATTTACCTTCCTCACAATCCCGCGATAATCTCGCTTGATGTTATGCAAAGGCATGAGACATTGTGCTATCTAGAACGATTCCTATTAACAGTGGGAAAATGTTAAGGCGGAAATTCTGTAGAAAAAATAATGGAAATAATATGGCCAAAATATAGTAATATACATTCTCCGAAAACGTTGAGAAAATTACCATGGTTAAATACGTTGTCGAACTGTTAACTTCTAAACTCGCCAGTTATTTGCCCTTGTTAAGAGGGTGGCTAATATTAAAGAAGATGCAATCTGCTAGAGATGTGTATTTATCTTAGCCTCTAAACCATGACCGAGTTGAGTGCAAGATAGAATGGTCTTACCGTTTGGACACGTGCACTTCTTCCACTTTCTCCGTTTTCTCAACCTCAGTCGAAAAATCTGCGTCTAAATAAAAAATGGTTAAATAAATGGTTAAATAAACAAAATAATAAATAAATACATGAGCAATAGGTAAGTAAATAAAACATTGAAGTTTGATTACATTTGTGTGAGCACACCATAACCCACGACTGAAGTTTTCTGATAACGCAATACCTTCGTAATCTTTGGATATTACATTATCAAAACAGATATCAGTATCATTGTACAACAGTATTGACAGTTTAATTTTTTTTTTTTTTTTTTGCCATGTACATATTTTATGTGTTTTGCTTTAACAGTCCTTTAACAGAAATCGCATTTTACTAATAATTTATGACAGCTCGAGCGCAACTTATCGTCAATGCATTATACATTAATTTGACCCTATACCTTCTAACTCTGCAGTCACGTCCCAGACAAGACCAAATACAATGGTCAGAGCCAAAAAGATCCTATAAAAAGACAAAAGTGAAATTATTACACAGTTATTTAGCCTATGGCTCTGTCCACAACTGACTTGATCCGCAGACTAATTGAGCCGCAGATCAAATATGGCGCACCTTACTTAATAGCTTGATGCGTGATCCCCTAATAGGTTACCCGCCTCCCGCGCGCAACATTCCTGCAGTGGCAGATCAATGTTAATCTCGCGTGCTCATTGGTCTTGGATCAGTTGATTCAGTTGAAAGAACGCTCCCGTGAAGTAAACATTGTGTCGTCAGATTCTGATTCTGTAAACATGCCTCCTCAGCGACCATACAACTTTACTGGAGTCGCCAAGAAACAATCTAATCTAATAAGAAGCTCAACTAACGTATGCAGCATGATTTCAAGTGGGCGCCATATTTGGTCTGTTTTTGACTATAGGTGATACAACACGAAAACTAAAATTTCATATACCCTTTTAAAGGTTTTCTTGAGCACCCTTCTTTTCTGAAACTCCTCTCTCCCTAGTCCACTTACCTGTTACTTCAGTTCTGTCTATATTGTATCAACGAGTACATGTTCTTGTTTAGTTTGTCTTTGGCAATGTGGTTTAAAATTGTTTATTGATTTTCGTCAGAGAAAGAATACTTAAGGTTTAATACATGTAAGGCACGTGTATTTCATGTCGGACGTGAATTTATTGTATTGTAAGCTTTCTGTGTACATGGCTACATAATTTTCTTGCTCCTTTCAAAACAATCACTTCTGAATAATAAATAATTCAATAAAGAATGGAGTCTTTAAAACATAATATCCCTTTTAAACATATTTGATAAATAATAATAGCAATTATAATAATAAAACTTACCCGATGAAACTCTGCTTCATTTTACTCTCTCGGTCTGTCGTCGCAATCGTAAGCGTAGCTGGTTCGTAGATTTGAAAGCAGCGCAGGAGTGCAGCAACTTGCTTCTATTTATACAACTTCGTTAGGTCTACGTAAATACACTCCATCCCATGCTAATTACACAGTATTTGTCTTGTATTAATCAATAGAAAACCTATCATCAAAATGATGCTATTAACGAGAAAACGAAGGATTACATCTCTTCATTAATAACCTTAGGTTCCATTCCCAAAGACACCTTCAGTCTACTTAGATCGACCCAACTCCGGGGAGGCTCTCGTTGAGTGCAATCAGCTTAAATGGATGCCGCGCCTCCTCCTGGCGATGAGTAGAATACAGAAAAGCTGGTGAGTATACGAGTACGTTGGAATCAAAGGAGGCAAATCATTCAGTTAAGCTGATTGCACTTACCGACAGTCATGGCAGAGTTGGGTCGACTGAAGATGTTTATGGGAATGCGGTCTTTTACACAGTATTGTCATAAGTGATTCAGATTTGGTTTCGTACAAAAACAAACGGCCCCTCATTATCTACATTCAAGGTCATAGAAATCAACATATTCAAGGTAATTTTGCGTCAAATATCAAACAAATGCTTGATTGGGTTTTTGATTGGATTCCCTTGAGAATGGCAATCACATAATTTTCAGGAAAAAACACATGCAACCTCTCTAAAATATCGAGTCTTGTAATGAGTGACACGGATGCACAGAGGTAGCAGTGCTTAGCTTACCCACGGTAGTGCAATTCTGTAAATTCAATGTAATGCAAAACAAAAATCACTATTAAAAATACAGGCCAACATACACAAAGATAATTATTTATCATGGCATGAACATTTTAATATAATATTTTAAAATAAAAATTGGCACACCGATATTACCCAGCACATAGAAAGAATTTGACAGTGCGTACTACTTCCCTTGATTAAGTGCTGCTGGATTAGAATAAAGGAAAATCATTTGATCTTTACTACAAATAAAGTTGACTATGCGTGTTACAAAAGTGAAAACTATAAGGACATTTGATTATGGGAGATAATTCAGCGAGGCAATTTATAATTATAGGATTCTGTCTTAATATGCATACAGTATGTGAAAGACATTATAATGCTTTTTTTGGTCGGTGTTTTACATGTAATACAGTTTTTAATCCCACCAAGACTGTATTTCAATCACCATTAGGTTAATAATAAAAAAATCCAGAAAAATTGACACGTTTGTCTTGACATTAGTTACACTAGATCATGTATCAGAGAACAATAAAGTAAATGAACGAATAAATAAATAAACAAATAAATAAAAACTCGAGACAACATGCATGGACACATTTGTAATGATCAGCTTGCAAGTACTTCTACTACATGTAGTTCACGTCTAGAGATAAACACGTCTGATACACTACAGGAGAATCACAGCAAATATGTGTTCAACAAAGTCAATAGGATAAAATTATTCAATAATGTCTGCAGTGTACATCACTGCCGTGGTTCAGATATTCATCTTTTTGTGACAAGGTCATTGTGTTTGTTTTGTTGTTTTTTGTTCAACATATTTCCATGGATCATTTGAGAGGCTCTATTTTCACAGAGTTAGTGCCAAACAGGGATTTCTCAAACTGCATAAGCTGTCGGAAGAAACCCATGTTTGGGTTCGTGCACGGTCGTCTGCTCTTCACGTGCTGATGCGCGTCGAATAAAGACATGTGGAGACACTTCATTAAGTAGGCAATACATAGGGTTGAAGAGCGACTGATCCCGCGCTCACAGTGAACTAACGTGGCGCCACCTTTCATTCGTTCTTTCTTGATCTCGTCTGCGCACATATCAAAGCAACTCTTGAGGTCCGTTCCTGGTACGTCGTCTACGTGAATCTGAACGTAGTTTTCCACAAAAGGAAACTTTTGATTGGGATAATCTGCTGTGCAATTAATTATACTTGTGACGCCTAACTCCTTGAGAACATCGTGTTCCATTTCGTGTACTCCGGAAAGATAAAGGTGGGGCGTGATCTCGGCGATAGTCCCGCGTTTGCGAGATCTCGCTGCCTTCGGTTTTTCTTCTTTCTCTTCGGCTTTTATCGGTATATGATTAATCCGCACGGTGCTGTTAATGTCGTCTGTGCTGCGTACCCTGTGTGACTTCTTCTTCTTTGAAGTGATTGTAAAGTCATCAAAAAAGTCTTCAAAGAAATCTGAAATGTAAATGAAAAACGACAAATCTGGCATAAGTGTGTCTCAAGGTATTTCAAGATAAATGTACATGTATAAGCTTTAAGCAATAGCATACATTTTGGCCAGATATAAAGAAGCGAATTGTTTATAAAGCAACGTAGAGTAAATGAAAAAACGAACGATCAGAGAGAAAAGAAAAACAATAATATAACAGAGCGAAAATAAATTGAAACTGCGCAAGATAATTCAAGACATCCCAAAGCATACTTTTTCGTTACCGCTATGAGACTCGAAAAGGATTATTATATGGGACGCGTAGGGTGTTAGAGTTACATGTACGACGAGGGCACGTTTTACCTATACCTCGTCACAAGAGAGGCGGATGAAAGTAGAGAAAAAAGTAGTATTTTGCGCTTTGGGGGTCAGCCAATAAATTAAGTGTTATGTATACAACGACACGCTTATATCCGGGTTTAATTTACAGTAATATGAAACACATGAAGATGTCATTTATCATACAGAATACATTCCTAGTCTACGAGATACAATACATCAAATTCAAGGTGGCAAGGAATCATCTTTTTTTTTCTTCTCTCTCTGTTGCATCTGCTGCACTAAAGCAAATTGTGGCTACTTGACTGAATGAAAAAGAAAAAGTGGGCAAGCATTCACCCCCTACACTGTTCAGTAAGGGAATAAATGAAAGCTGGGTAGTATATACTGTACGAACACAGGTACAGGTGAAGGGGGATCATTATTTCCTCTCTAAATTTGGAATCAGGGTGGAAATATCAGCAATATATCACCAGGTATATTACCGGTCCAATTCACATATACATATACAGGTAGGCCTACTGCTATTCATTTTGGAATCCCGTCGACAATTCCTTCTTTCTTACCACTTTGAAAGCTACCTCAATCAAAACCGATTAAAAGAAAACTCATTGCCATGGGCTTTTTTGCTCCCAACAAACAGTTTTTAAAAATATCTAAACTGACAAAGTCTGTTGTTAAAATTGCTTTCAGTTCCACCCCGTTATATGGTGGAATACAGTGTAATACAGGTGAAGTCCCCAATCACTCAACGATTAAGGGTTGAACTCAAGAAGAGTGGAACAGATGCTCAAATATATTGCTCATCGCAAGTTACTGGGTGTAAATGTTTTAAAGGGCAACAGACGCAAGATTCATCAAATGCCACAGGAACCGATTAGCTTGAGGTGTCAAAGTGTATGCGATTCGGTGCGGGTGATACGCCAAACTGTTTTATACTGCCATAGTCAGCTGACAAAAATATAATAAAATAAAATAAAATAAAAAATATTAGAATAAATAAATAAAATATGAAATGAAGAATAAATACAAAAAAATCTCTGAACCACTAGCGTACGCTACCCCCCTTTAGAACCTCCAAATAACTCGGGCTACTTGTACTTATACCAGAAAATATATAAATGCACAAATGAGCTGGAGAAGGGGGGTGGGTGGAGGTCTCTATCCAATCTACATGTACGTATCCTTAAATGCGTTAAAATGTACGAAGCATTTTATTTAAGTTTTAGTAAAGGAACGGATATACTCAGATATCGTGTGTGTTTGTGTGTGCATGGGCGTGCATGTATGTGTGTGTGTGTGTGTGTGTGTGCGCGTGCGCGCGCGTACGTGCATTTGTGTGTTTAAAGGACGAGAACAACGATTCAATGTGTCACTGTCATAGCCTTTGGTTTATTCTTGTAAAGTCAACCAATACTGTAGGGATAAAAATTCTCCATAAGATGTCTTTATTCATGAAACTAAATGAAAATATTACAGATAAATACCACATTACAGACACCTACCGTCAAATATATCGTCTATATCCCAGGATAGAGCCGCCATCTTGACAAGATTCCCTTTGCATTCATCCACTAGTATTTATCCGAAACCATTAAGCTCCCACCGCAATGTTTTTCAAAAAATTGCTTTCCAAGCAGACAGATTTCACAGGCAGGGCTATGAAAGCAAATTCTCTAAGGCGGCGATATGGAAGGAATCTTGATGTACCAAATCCACACACCAGAGCAACAGAACATCTGGATCACTTCATCACTTGATCCAGTGCCAAGTAAAAACGACCGCGGCACACCTGGAACTCGAACAGATTTAGAACGCCTAGGAACTATAATGCGTCAGTGTTTGTAAATTCACCATTAAACCTTCTTCACTTGGTGAGTTATGATAGTTTCTTTACAAGAATATCACAGAGACGTTCCTACTGTTTTCTTTATCATAAGGCGCTGCGAATTTTCTACAGAGGCACTGCGAAGATGGAATTCTAGCTTGAGGTATACTTCGGCATTAAAAACGGTAAGAAACTACTTACCAGTGGGTGGATGCCATGGCAACGGGTATTTAGATCCTATCGGAAGACCTAATACAGTGAGGTGAAAAAGTCAGTGACTAATAAGCCCTCTTCTCTGATACGATTTACCCAATGATATCATCGACATCACTTATTCGTGGTAAATATCTATTTCGGCAATAAGTTACAGATCCTACATAATTCGTGACCCCAAGTCCTCCCCCGAAAAGAGATGATCATAACTGATTGACTGAGTAAGTAGAACATGTGTGTAGATGCATACCTGGTTTTTTGCATAAAGATAAACGATTTTATCTAAAAGCTGTATGAATAAACCTTTGGTAGTCCCTGTAAGGTGAATTGTTTTCACCTCTGGATGTTCGTCAGACTGGTTCGGTAATGCTTGATATTTCAGAAGGGAGCAAGGTTAAATAAATTAGTAATGGAAGCTAATATGTGAGAGTAAGGTATGAGACGATCGTTTTATGCAAGGGGCATCGTCGTTTATGCTTCAAAAATAAATAAATGGATGAAGATTGAAATAAAGAAAAAAAAAAAGATTTATTATAACTTATGAGCCAGTATAAATGTGTGTTGGTGAAAATGTACGTAATCTCATTAATTGTAGATGTTTACAGGTATCCACGGCAACTTTAGCATGGGTATTGTGTTAGAGAAGACGATCATCAGATATACAATTTTGCATGATATAAACCTGATAGAGTGGGTGACCAACGCATGAAGGATAACAAAATAGATGTTAGTTTTAAAGATTTAAAGGTAGGGCTGATCCATGTCTTCAACACCCAGAGCCACCGATTGTTTTTATGAAATATTCACAGTTATGTCTTTGGGCTAAATCAGTACATCTTTTCTGCCGTACGTCCAGGGAGAATTTTCGTATGGAAAAACAAGTGTCGTCACTCGGCTGTATAGAGTAGTGCACAGTGCACGGGCAGTGAGAAGCATGTAGGGCTTTTCACATTAAACCGCATCGTACTAAGGTCAGAAATACTTTGACTTGTAATAATAACATTTCTAAACATTAAAATGTATGAGACTGTGATACCCCAAATAGATAAACACAAATAAAGAAAGATATGTATCATAAAGATAAAGATCATATGGTAGAATAGGCCTACTGCATTAAAAAGATATCTCGGTTATATACCAGTAACGCATAAGTAAATATGTAAATTGCTTATCTAGCATCAATCTAGCATCAAAACCTGATAGTGGTATACCTACATGTACGACAAACCATCATCAGCAACTCTTTCCTCTTCTCTGGACTATAATTTCAGTTGTTCGTATTCTTCTAGATAGCATCTCTCAGGGCTCAGTCCCAGTGAAACTATCGTGCTACATATATCGATCCAACTCCGCGGGGACTCTTGCTGAATGCAGCCAGTTTAACAAATTAACACGCCTCCCCCAAAACGTGCCCGTATAATCACAAGTTTTCTGTTTTCTTCTCAACGTTGGGAGGAAGCGTGTTAATCCGTTTATCTGATTGCATTCAATGTGAGCCCCACGGAGTTGGATCGATCTATGTAGATCAATAGTTGCATTGGGAATGAGTCCTTAAACGAGGAAGAGTGCAGTCTTACTTTAATAATGATGATTATGCTAGTAATTATATGGGGACACCACTGACGTTTAAGAATTTTGGCGTTTCGGTAGGGTTCAGACGTCTAACAAGTTTTACATTGCTGGGAACTAATGTGACATTGATGTCTAAATTGTAAGAAGTAGTTGCGAAGTAAACCAACAATATGGGTGAGTATTAATAGTACAGGTGTATGTTGTGCAATATTTCAATTTATGTTATAAAACTTCAATTTATGTGTTGGAATTGCACGAAGAAAAAGTAGCGAAAAACCTCAAAATTAATGTAAACAAAAAAAGTCAGCTGACTGTACGTAATATTGACAGATGCGGCAAAGGGGCAACTGTTTAATGATATTGAATCATTATCAAAGCCCTCGCTGTATTGTGTGTCAGTGATTCGCCAATATTTCCTTAAAACGAGTATTAGCCTGACGATGTACATGTAATTTTGAAGACGGATTTGAATGAATTCAGGAAATACTTTGACCTTATGTCTCACTTCACTAAATTTCCATATGGCACTAGTGGTAAACATATCATTGCAAATGTTGTACACTTCCCTAAATGACACAGTCTCCTTTGCTACTTTCCAGGTAATTCTCTATTCTCGGAGTGCACATTATCAAACGCCTACCAGAATGTCACCGCGGAGACGTCGTGTCCTTCGCTCGGCGCTGGCCCCCTGGTGACCCCCCTGTGTACCTTTAACCCCTTCTTCCTCCTCTTCACCGCCTCCGGGTTCCGCTGTATGTGTCCACCGGGGGCGTTTCCTTTCACGTTTCCTGGCTCCTTCGTCCAATCCACAGAGGCGGTGGTATCGGTGTGCTTGCCAAGTAAGTATTATTATTATTATAATTATTATTATTGACACCTTTTAAGCTATCATTGTTATTATTATAAACATTATTGGCGTTGCCATTAAAAAAAAAAAACCGCGTGTACAGAATGTTTTTAGTCAAAACGGGTTATATGTCTACTGACGTATTTCTGTGAAATGTTCTAGTTACTGGTTCCACCTGCACAACGAACGCTGATTGTAACCTTAGGGTGACGGACTGTCTTGGCTTTGCATCGACAATCAGCGCAGCTCCCCCTAACTTAATGCCGGGGATCTCCTCAGACATTGCAAGCCTTATGACGGTAAATTGTACTCTTTTATTAATGATTTTTTTCATAATTTATTTCTTATACATCCATTAATTCTTTGGTTTTTCTTCGAATCTATATGTAGTTTTTGTTTTGGTTTGTTGCAAGGTACTGCGCTATTATTTGTAAAATCTAAATTAAAATGATGAACCTGTAGATATTTGCAAAGTAAAACGGGTAAAAATGACATTTGTGAACATGATTCGAAAAGCGGCATGGATATTTGTTTTCACATGTATTAGTTATAGCCATCGAGTACATCTTGCAAACAAGTCACTTTATTGTCATGTCTCATACTAAACTTCCAGCCGGTGACCGGGCTGATTTGCAGTTTCAATGATCGTTTTAATGTGGACATTACCCCCATCTATTACTGCAACGCTGGAAGCTGCGCCGAATACAACACAAGTGAGTTTTATGGAATATAGGTTAACAAATTATATCTACCGTTACTGAGATTCTTGTTTACAGGAATTGGGTAGTATTTTTGGAATGATCAAGAAAGTCAACCACGTTTATCCGCCACCACTGCATGTAACAGAATAAATAATATTAGATATTTATTATGCCTGGGAGAAAATAAAATGGATAAAAATAATTTGTTTCTAGACTGAAAATAAAAGAAATAGAAAAATGGAGGGTTTGAATTCGATGAGGATGATACCACAACTAGTATTGTTACTAAGATCCAAGAAACCGCGATTTTCTTGGACAATTTCATTTACATTTCATAGTAAAAGCGAGCATGACCCCTTAAATGCGGTATTTAAAAATAATGTTTATTTATTTGGATAACATGGCTAAACATCAGTATAATGCCTCTATTCCATACCGAATAAAAATACTACGAATCTCCAGGAATTGATAAATTTTAGAAATCGTGGAATTTTGCACATTTCTGGTAGACGTCTTGACCCTGCTTGGTCTTCACTTCCAAAATGGATGTTGAACATAGAGCAGCTATACTCACTGGCCCTAGAACAGGAGTATGAACATCAACTAGTGATGAATCGAAGACTGGTTCGGAACTTTTGTGTCGATTTCAGGATCTCTTAAGAATTGCAAGAACTGACTGACAATAAATAAGAATCAGTTCAGTAACTTTACGAATTTGTCAATGTTAAACTAAGAACCCTGGGGTTTTTGAATTTCGTTGCGGACCACGGAATTCTTATTCGGTGTGGAAAAATGGCATGAAAAGGATACGGTTGTCACAGAGGCGGTATTATGAAAACTTTGCCGACCTTAGCAATTTGCGATATGCTATCGAGAATTAGTCCACTGCCGCCATGTAATGCACTTTTTGTTTATCTTTATTAGGAATTTAAATGCAATCTCTTCACTGCTTGGTATGTCATGCATATCAGGCGCTACTGCAAGTTTTTTTTAATCAGTTTATCTCCAGGTATAATTTGAAGGTTTTTTGCATTTTATGATAATTACACAAGATGTTTATTGTGCGTAGAATTTAATGAAACACAAGACTGTATCACAAAAAGGAATCAATAATAATAATAATAATAATAAAAATAATAATAATAATAATAATAATTATTATTATATGTATTATTAAATGAATTACTATTATTACAGAAAGTTTCGATAGTCACTCATAGCACAGTCATCATGATGCAGCCTTTTCATTGTTTGATATGTCAAGTGTCTTTTGCAAAGTGTTTATTGTGAAATATGGATCTCATACGAAGAGTTGTTATCCCTTAAATAAGTTACCCCTTTCATAAGTCACGTGTCTTTTCAGGTCCCCCGGAGAACACGCCCCTGGTGAATGGGACAATTCTTTTCTACCAAGGACTGGTTCGGGATGCCTTGCCGTCTTTATTCACTTTTTATCCCAATGTGGTGCCAGACCCAAGCAGCGGAAACCGCCTGTCATATCTCAATGAAAATGTCTTTGCGGCAATCTTTAGGAACCTGTTTCCGCCAGATATACAGTCACCATAGTGACGGGCAGCTCTGATCTGTGATTGGCTCCACGTGTCGTTGAGCGTTTTGGATATTTTGACCCCGCAGTAGCTGATCAATATCTTATGTTATGTAAATACAGACTTTCTCATTGCATGGATATAATGGATGTTAACTGGGTATTTAATAATCGTTTATCTGAACCTTTCTTTTTTCTGTATCTTCTTGCCCTTAGACGATACATTCTGTACATGGCTTCCGAGAATGAAGCATTGAATCTGAATTTGAGTCTTGTTATTGGACATTAAGTGAATACTAGTAGTATCCTTATCCTATTTCAAATTCATGCACGATTTCACCTGAAAATATTGAAACGGGATGATGTTTTGCACCAAAATTTTTAATATTACGTCACACAATGAACTCGGAGCTGTGTTTCAAGCATAATTATATGCTTTGAAGATACATTAAAGAAATGCAAAAAGATAAAAAAGCTAAGGCCTTTAACTTAAAATAAAATATCCAACCTGCAGTCCTAACTTAAGCAGTTAATTACAGCACACAATACAGGACAACAGCAATACCTGTATCCAGCCTGGTAGCAAAGCGACGTCAAACGAACCATGTTAGGCCACATTCCCAAAAACACCTGAAGTCTACGTAGATATACCCAACTTGGCGGCGGCCCTGATTTCTGACACGCCTGCTGAAGCTGCTAGGGGGTTAACTATCGTTAAGCAGCTTCAGTTGGCGCGCCAGACATCTAAGCCGCTACATTAGAATGGGATTTAGAGAGAATCCTCTTGGAGATGGGTCGAACCTGCAAGATCGATCTAGGTATGGGAATGCGGTCCTAGAGACGGACCTCCTGGAAGACCGACTCATATTGGCGACGATGGTTTAGGGACCATTCCCACAGATATTTTGATCGATCCATCTCCCTAAGGAGTCTCACTAAATGGCTATCAACTCAACCGGCTTAAATATCTGTCAAGCCTAGTAAAGCTGTTAGAGGGCAATTAACTTTACCCCCTAGCTGATTCTGTAGGCGTGACAGACCTTTAAGCCGGTTAGTTGATAGCAATTTAGTGAGACTCCCCAGGGAGTTAGACCGATCCAGATGGTTCCATCTAGTTATGGGAACCCAGGCTTAGGGATGATGTTCGAGGGGCTGGGAAAAACAAACAATGAATAGCCGTATTCACACTCGAAATGTAATACTGATGTCGGTGACCAATTATGTCCATTAATTGTTGTTGAACTTTTTCTAACTAATGGACACTATTGATTGTGTCAAAAATCAGTTATTTGTGCTATACAAAGAAGGTATAACACTAATGGAATACAAGAGCGGTTTATGTTGTGGAAATCAAACAGTCATCTATGGGAAAAGCTTCACCAACTCCACGTATAACAGAACCGAAATACAGAATCGTTATTGGAATTCCAACTCCACCAAAGCTTTATATTTATCTTGAAAATTCATTGGAAGTCCCAAAACATTGATTGTAAGATACTGTTCAGGCAATATAATAAGTGATGCTCGGGTATCGTCCCACGTATCGACCATTCTTCATAGGGACATAGCAATATTATAAGACCATTTCCTGCTTAAAAGTCCTTTCCACCAAACAAACGAACGAGCTGTTATCTTTGCAGAATCTGGGCAGACTAAATCTTACTTAGTCGAGAAGGGAAAAAAGCAAGCTTGTCGACTCTGACATTGTGTCGCCTTTTCAGATTAAAATATATATTTATTTCTATCGGTGAAGCAAGAATACCGGAGAACACCGAAGTAGTTTTAACACAGCACTTTACTTACAAGACATACTGAGCTATTGCCAAAGTTTACGAATATGAATTCGGTTGGCGTACATCCCTCAGAAAAAGCGTTCAACAGGGCAGATGAACTCAATTGCAAAAGCTACCGCAGCGGTTATGACGAAACCTTACAAGAAACTACGGTGCAAATAGAAATGACAACTTTTGCAAACGAAGTCAGTATTCTAGGATTAAAACAGTCCGTCAACCCCAAATATTCCCATTTCAGACGCACGCTATGGCTGTGTTTCGTCTTGGCAGGGTTTGGATTCTTGCTTTACCATCTTTGGCACAGGATTGCTTACTTTCTAAGCAACCCTGTAACAGTGAAGATAGATGTTGTGGCAAACGATACATTGGTTTTTCCCGCGATAACCATTTGTATCAACAGTCCTCTGAAGATGAGCAGTTTAGTTGCCAATAACGAGAGTTATATAGGAAAATATTTTGGCACTTTCGAGGACCCGCAAGATTTATCTTCCTACAATTTGGGACGTATTAACTGGACTGAATTTATGATTCGCAATGGGTATGACAAACGTGACATCTTTTTAGACGTAAGTTTTATTTTTCATAACAGTAGAGTGCATTTGCTTGGAAGCCTAATTTCCTTACAGATAAAAAAGAAACATGCTCGGAAGGATAGCGGGAATAATTATTTTTCACGAGTAAATAACTACAGAAAAGTTGGTAATTTTTATGAGAAATTTTCCGTTGTAGCTTTGTTTAAAAAATCAAAACTGAATGAACACGCCTAAAAACAACTAAAATATCGTTGCAATTGAATCACAAAACAAATACCAGGTTCTACAGATATATAACTGAGGGATAATTACTGGTTAATAATCTCTTAAACGTACACAGTCATGTAATAATAATAATAATAATAATAATAATAATAATAATAATAATAATAATAAAAATAATGTTTTTATAAAATACAACCCACCCTAGTAAGAGTTATGAGAGACTAAAACCCGTGATAGTATAGTTAAAATATATACGTATGACATGCTTTGACTTTTTTCCAGGTGAAATGGAAACTAAAAGATGTCCGCTTAGCTGACATCAGGCCTGTGTTCACCAGTCTTGGTTTATGTTATCAGATCAACTCAGGTAATATCCAACCCAGTTAAGACACGCGTTTTATTCTGTAAATAGAGCAAATGGCAAATCATTTGAACAAATCAAATCACGTGTATCTTTCAGACAAAAATATATCAATTTTTTTTTATCTTTTATTTTTAAATTTCATCAAAAAAATTATTATTGTTGGCTTGTAAATCATTCTTACTGATATTTATTGATTATTTTCACGTTTAACGTTCTATTTTTCACTGGGAAGATAAATTCTCAATATATATATATCCAAACAACTTAGACAACCATCTACAAGTGGATTTACAGGGGAAAGATATGGGACTACTTGGTGTGTTTTTATCACGTCAAAGAGAATATCTAACAGCCTCCTACGAAGCCGGCTTATCGGTAATACCATTGACTAACGTTCTGTGTAGCAGTGTGTTGATTTTTGTTGATCTAAAATAATATTAATGGTTATATAATGGTGTGCGTAATTAGACTCTGGATAAGCCATATCTAACATAATATAGCATCTTTATTTGTCTTTTGCATTGTAAAAACAGTTTCAATTTTATGTTAAAATACATATTTGTAGGTCCACTCACTGTATCAGTATTCCAAACAACTGTACAGTGTCATTAGTATATGCCAGAGCAAAAATTACAATAATAATTGTATAGATAAAATATATACCTATACAAAAATATATAATAATAATAATAATAATAATAATAATAATAATAATAATAGGGGAGACCGGGGCTAGTTGGACCCCGGGGTAAGTTGGCCCCCCGTCAATTTATGAAAAAGTAACTATGAGGGAAAAAAATTGGCCACACACTCTTGTAAAGTGACCGTAGCCTACAATGCTAAGGAAGTGTCGGATGTTAAAAAGGTTTAATTAAGCGGTGAGTCCAAATAAACTATTTTTGCACCGAAAAGTAATTTTGTTTAAGAGATTTAAAAATCTATTTTCATAGGCTTTTGATCGAATATAAGATATGTATAGGGCATCAAACTGAAGCTTATTGTTTCAAGTTTCACAGGGATGTATCATCGTTGCTCATTCTAGCACCATAAATGGCTGCCATCTTTTAAAATAAATAATGTGCACCCGGGGCTAGTTGGCCCCCTTGACTCGGGGCAAGTTGGACCCTCATGTTACCCACAATCCTTTGCGCGCAACGCTGTTTGAAATAAACAAGTTGGTGAAATTGACAAAGCTTGCCGGTGTTTACCGTCTGATTGATTTTTTTTTTTAATTTGCTCTCTGGTGTCTTTTCGAAAATTTATATTAGAAATGTTCTGTTGATTGTATGTATTAAAAAGCAAATCCATTGGACTTTCATTAGAAAAACATTAATTTTGCCTTAATTCATTGTAAGGGGATTCCCTTTGTATTTATAGTGTCATATGTGGCCCCAAGGGGATTTCCACCCCTCCATAGCTAGAGACCATTGTTGAAACAAACTCAATGATTTAAAACTGAATTTGTTACCTTCTTTTAAAACGAAAATTTATTATTCGTTTTCATTCATTAAAAACCTGTTTTATACCATTATAATGTATTCCTAATTAAAACAAAACTAAATTTTTGATAGATATTTTGGTTCTTGCAACACATAGGCCCCC